AAAAGAAAAAAAACGGAAACATTAAACATTTTCTCTCGTTTATTTCGTTTTTTTTCTGTTTTTTTTTTGTTTTCTTGCTTCCAGTAGGTTATTTCCACGTACTTTTCTTCTCGTCTGGAGCTCTACTTTTCTTTTTTAAAATAAAAATAAAAAGGACGTGAGGAGTGGAAAACGACTTACTCCTACCCACACACACACACACACACACACACACACATACACATACACACACATACACACACATACACAGCAGCGGAAAAACATAACTAGCGTCGTTCGTCTTTCACGTTGCACAATGTACCCGTCACGTCCTCTCCATTCACCTCACGCTTTTTTTTTTCTCCTCCTTCTAACTCCTTCCCTCAGATAACATGCGCCCGACCTCCGTTTTGCTTCTTCATCCTTCCTTGTTTGTGTTTGAATGCCCCATCGACTACTTCGGGGCACTTTGCATCACACGATGGAGGCCAAGGACGGCCTCCAGCATCCCTGCAATGGCGCCAGGGAGGTGCAGCATATCTCCCAGTGCGGCATCACTCTTTCCTGTTTCATACCCTCCAAAGCAGTACATGAAGGCAAGGTACACCTCCGTCATGTATCGCACCTGCAGGAGGATGGTAGCGGTCAAGTTTGGGTGCGTCTGCAACAGCAGCACGTATGTCATCAGCTTGTTCACCAGCCACGGAACCCGCAGAATAGCGACCTCGGCTCTTTCACCAGGGGTCGGCGCATTGGGAGAGGGCATGGGGACTTGTCTCACAGACTCTTTCTGTCGGTGACTGGTTTTACCTTCCTCCTTTGCCTCGTGCTGCGCCAACGCATCTGCGGTGCCAGAGGGACCCTCGACAAACAAACAGCCACAAGCCCTACACGCAGGGGCAATGTGCTGCGGAGCTGCCGCCTCAAAGTATGCAGGGGAGGAGCAGAGGGGGGCACCAAAGTCAAAGTCCACAGCTGGAAAGTAGAGATCCGCGTTACGCCGCGCAACAAGATAACGGTAGCGCCGCCCGAGGTCCGTCTCCGCGTCATCTTTGCATTGACAATGATACAAGGCGTTGTGCCGCGCGGTCGCATACTTGTACCATCCCCTATCCATCAACCGGATTGTGTTCAAAAACAGATCAATAGCGGCAACGGCCAACCATAGCCAGTTTGCGCGGCGTTGCAACACCGGTCGGTTTTTCTCCACACAAGACACATTGAAAAAACGCTCAGATGAAAGAAGGAGAATATCACGCAAGGTACGGCGACCGATTGTAGCAATGCTACGCACACCAAGGAGCAGCATAAGCGAAGTGCTGAACTGCAAAAGACGCTTCCGCCAATGCTCCGGTTTTCCCATCTCCGCCGGAATGGCCTGTCCTGTGTCCTCCTTCGACTCAAGAATTCCGTTTGACGCCGGATTAAGATCGATATCACTAACTTCTTTTGGACCTGGACTGGAGCCCATGTCGTCGTCACAGTCTTCCAGCATGGGAGGCAGCTTCGCACGGCATACTGGGCTCTTGGTTCCACTGCACGGAGGGACACTATTATTATGAGTATTGTTACCATTGATATTATTGTTATTGTTAACACTGCTTTTGTGGTGGTTGCCGTGATGCAGCGGTAGAGCAGCCCCTAGTCGAGGTTCGTACGGCAAAATCGGGTAGGAGGCAAAAAAGTCATGAGAGGCCACCGTTGTTTTTTCTTCGGTAGAGGAACGGGCAACGTGAGATGCCTTCTGCGTACCAGTGCCATTGTTAGGCGTGTCACGAGGCTTGGCCACATCATCCCCGGCACCCGTCGCACAGAGCGGGCGCAGCAGCTTTGTGAGTGGTTTTTTCGATGACTGCTCGTCATCCTGTCGCGTTCTTGTCACGAATGAGGCCGGTAAAGTGCCCTCCACGTCGGGAGGCGTGGAAAGGGAGTCGTGAGTGCTTGAGTCACTCTGCCCGGTTGGGGGCATGCACTGACTGTCGTTCGGACCCGTTGATCCTCCCCTACTCAACTGCTGCTGCTGCGACACCCGCCTTGCCTCCATCTCAGAAATACTGTCGTAGAACTTCTCCTTCATGTAGACGCGTGTCGCCTCCGAGGCACCGGCCGCGGTGGAAGTTTCGGTCAACACAGGCTTAGCGGTGTTCCGCTCCGCCTGCGTCATCGAGAAAGACTGCGGCTTCATCGAGAACTCCGCCCGTGCCACGTGGGAGTACACCTCGTCAGTTAACAACATATCTGCCTTCTCTGCTCCAGAGGCCTCCGTGCCGGATTCCGTGTAAACGTTGCTAACATCCCGGCGATGCCGCGGCGTACGCCACGAAAGGGGGATGTGCAAAAACTGAAATAACGCGGATACAATACGGTGCACCACCTCGCTCCACACAATGCCATACTTCAAGGCAAGGCGTCCGAGAACCTCCTCAAGGAAAAAGACGTTTAATACCCATCGGCCCAACTTAAACAAACTGCGCCCGTGTCGAATGGTGTTGATGTTGCGCCAAAAGCGTGTCGCCCAATAGTCTGCAAGGTTCTGCGCATCGGTCGCAAATAGCATCGGTCGCTTGAGGAGACAAATCATTAGATGCAGTCCGTACTGTAGGCACTTAAACAGTTTGTCCCTGCCTTCCGACGACGTCATGACGTAAAGGATGGTGCTGCGCGGGAGGTCATTTGGGATGAGTGCCCAAAACCCATCCTCCTCATCCTGGAAGTATCCCTCCACACACACCTGCGTCCGGCAGAAACTATCCCGTTGACGCATTGAAAACGACGTGTTGGACTTCTCAGCCGCCCCATCACTCTCCCTACTACCCATATTGTCTGGGAAAATGATGCTAAAGAAAGGATCCCCGGCGGATGTGGGGCTAGGAGAAGAGGAACCCACCTCCACCCCCCAGTTATCTTGAAGGGTGTCCACGTCACGCATGCTGGGGCCCTGAGTGGTTGTTGCACGACGACTTGACGTCGTTGATGACTGCCGATACGCAGACGGACTCGGGAAGCGTCGAGCACGGAGTGTATGGGTCTCAACACCAGAGTCCCGTGGAGGGGATTTATTTCCTTCCGGTGCCTTGCCCGCGGCGTTGCCGGGCTCATTCAAGATATTCTCCATCACGTCACAAAGTCAGCGGCTCCCTTCGCTTCAACGCAGACCCCTAGTATATGAATAAGTGGTGCTGTGCCTCGCAGTTTCCACTCCCACACACTCACAGTACCGCCCGTCGTTGGTTGGACGTCTTCTGGTGTGTCTGTTTCGTTTCACGTTAGCCTGTTTTTTGTTTTTGTTTTGCTTATACCTTATTCTTCTGCGGTTATTGGTGCGTTCCCTTCCTCACGCTTCTTCTTCCTACTCCTGTGAGGTCCATGCAACAAGATTGCAAAAAGAGCAGAACGACGGCAAAAAACAAAAACAACAACAACAACAAGAAACAAACAAAGGAGATGCATCCCCGCGTGGAAGTACGGAGTGAAGCCCAATTAGCATTGCCGTCATTGTGTGACATTCAGCGCCGCATCGTCCCCTCCTCTTCCACCCCTCCGTTAACTGCTGTAAATAAGTTGCGTGCGTGCGTGTGTGACGCCTCCCCTGCGATGGAGTTGCACGACACATCCCTCTCCCTCTCTCTCGCTCTCACTCTCTCTCCCTTGTCTCTCCCCCCCCCCCCCCATCTCCGTTTCTTTTTGGTTTAGTTCGGGGACGTGCGCCTGTGCGGTGCCAGCAAAGTGGTGGCCTCACACAAAAACAAAAACACCCAGACACGATTCAACACGCTGGGACTGCATAGCCGCCTCCCGCACCATCTTCACGGCATCTCCCGCGGCCACACACGAGGGGGTGAGGCAGAAGGGGACGATGCGGGACACCGCACAGGGCAAAAAGAGATGAGCAACGCAACGACCGCAACAACAACAACAAAAAACAACAGCGACAACAGCGAAAAGCGACACCACACATTCATGCAGTTCACCTTGGTTATAATAAGCCGCTTACTCTCTTTCTCTCTATCTCTTAAACACACACGCACACTCGCCGAGACGCACGATACAATCCTCCTCTTCTTGTATTACTTTTTTTTTTTTACCCCCTCCTCTTTTATTTCTTTCCTTTCTTTTACGCTGTGGAGGTGATGTAATCCGTTATGCTGGCCGCCTTAACACGCTTGCGCTGCGGTGCGCTGCCGGGCTCGTACGCCGGAAACTTCTCTTCCCGCTCGCGTTCGTCCTCTACGCGGGAGTAATGCAGCCACGCGAGGCCAAAGCGTTCCATGTCCTGCATGTCCATTGCCATGTTAAATACGAAAAAGAGGGCAAGGGGGGTGGCAAACTCAACGTACGCCCCTCCCACATGTGAGGTGTAGGACTTTAGGAATCGCCACATCCCCGACCACCAGCTCCCGCCGTCTGCAGCACTGCTATCAAGCATCATAACTCCCATGCAAAAAATGGTAGATGCGAGCTTCTTTTTTTTTTTCTTCGTTCGTGTGTGTTATCTTAACGTGTTTTTACCTTCTTGGTTGGGAGGAGGGGGCAGGAGGAGGATGATGTATGCTGACCACCTCCCTCTAAGCTGCTACCTCTGCTGCTTTTTGCTCAACGCAGCGCACATGCACACAACCAAATTGGCACGCGGCATCATCAGCGGCGACGGTGTGTACGTGGGGTGGGGGTGGGGGAGAGAGAAAAGAAAAGAAAAAAAAATAGTAGTAATACTAATATTCAAGGCCACCACACACACCGTTGCACAATCGCTGCCAAACACGCCAATGACAATGCAGCGAGTGGCGTACGATGTGCCATATATATATATATCTAGACGATTAAAAAAATTATCGCCTATCCTTCTCTCCACCTCAGCCTTCCTTCGCATACCACTGTCGATGCGTCGCCCTTATTTCCTTGAATACCGTCATTCTTTCCCCGCCCTCTCACCCCTCCTTTTTTTTTCTTGTTTTCGTTGCATTTTTTTTTTCATTTTTATTTCGTGTGCATTGCTGCTATGCGATCTGCACTTTTCACGAGGCCTCGCGTTACACCCGGGCACAATTCCCCGTTATTCTCCTCCACGCACCCCCCACAGACAAACAAAGAAGCGCATGACGGGGCGCACCGACAATCAACACTAGTCCTCGGGGTTGTAGTTATCCCGCACAATACGGTGAATTTGTGAGGGGGTGTACTCCGACTCGTTCGTCGCGTAGAGGGTGATGAGCTCTGGTGGCACGTACTCCGTCGCGGGGGAGTTGATGGTGAGGAAGCCGATCTTCTCGACGTTTTCCCAGTAGGTGGCGGGCAGCACGTCATACGGGGAACCGTACGTGTTCCATGGGATTTCCTTCGCGTCGGCGCGGGAAATCTTCACCAGGCTCGTGCAGTGGATGTCGCGGGGGTAATACAGCGACATTTTTAGCGTCGTAGTCGCCACGAGCACAGGCACGGCGAAGTGTTTAGCGGCGATGCAGAGCGGGTGCGTACCGATGGTTGCTAGCAGCCCACCGTTCGCCAGAACGCTTTCTGCCCCGATCAGCACCTTGGTGCAGTTCCCCATCACCGCAAAGGTGGAGCTGTCAGGAAGCACCTGCACCTCCGCCCCATTCTCGCGCAGCTCTGCCGCCAAGCGCTGCGACACATGCGACGGAAACGGGGCACCCTCGAGAATAATGACCTTAAACCGCACATGCGCCTTCAGGGCACTCAAAAAGTAATACTGTATTGTGTTGCTGCAGCCAATCGTGATGACAACATCTGTGGTGTGCAGCTGCCGCGGGGCCCGCGCGCATAGTTCTTTGCACATCCCCTCCATATCCCCTGCAAACACCGCCATGGCTTCTAGCAGGCTGTCAAAAAAAGCATCGATACACACTGGGAAATCGGCAGTCTGCTCATCGTCCTCTTCTTCACGTCTGCTAGGCGCCCGCCGCAGGGACTGCACCCCCGGAATGCCGACACCTAAGGCGTCTGCCGCTTCCCGGTCGTCTGCCTCAAACGTGGCGTCCAGCTCAACTATACTGTCCCGCTCCGTGTTGTTCACATTAAATCGCACCTGGAGTGCCTTGTGCGAGAAAGAACATCGATTTCGTCGTTCCTCACTACATATCGCACTTAGCGGCGAAAAGGGCACGGATCCACTATCCGTGCGGGAGCGTTCCAAGGAACCCTGGTGCAATTCCCCTTCCTGCGGCAGTGGCAGGGGTGATAACTGTTGCCCCTGCTCCATGTTGTCTGTACCATCGCGACAGCCAACGTCTTCTATTTCATTTAGCCACTGCGTCGCGAGATGCTCAAGCTGAAATTCACTCGCAACATTCTCCAACGCCGCCTCACGGATGAGTGACAGCACTCGTCGGGTGACATTTATAAGCATCAGCGTGGCAAACTGCGCCCGAAGCACCTTCACCCCGACAAGGGAGATAAGGCTCATCAGTCGTCGCACTTGCTGAGTTGCTACAAGCCCTGCAGGGCAGTTCGCGCGGAGCATCTGGTGTCTGATACTCTCACGCTGTGCCTCATGCTCACGAAAGTCAGACACGACCTGACGCATGATCTCCAGCATGTCACACGCTGCTGTGGTCGAGAGGCTCCTCTTGCCCCTGGCACCCAATTTGCCGCGTCGGACATTGCTTACAAACCTCTCTACGTTTCTCACAATGGCGTCCATGAGACTTGCCGGTTCCTTCACATGATAGTCAGTCCGCAACTTGAGCATGTTGTATGAGCGTAAGCGAAGCAGCTATGTTTGTGTGTGTGTGTGTTTGTAGGGACTTGAGGGCGGGTGGGGTGTGTAATGTTTATTTCCAGCGCCGACCCCACTCGTATGTTGTGCCAAACGACAATTATGTTACTATTTCCGAGGCCATGCACACAAACACACACACACACACACACATGCGATGCGGAACAGAGGCAGCATCAATAGTAACAAGAAGAGAAACATGAAAGGGAGAGATGCCAACAACAAACAAACAACAATGAGAGAAAAATAACAACTACAATAACACAAAACCAGCAGCAACGACGCCGTCAACAAGCCCCCTCAACCCTCTTGATCTACATAGCAGACTTACAAAGCAACAACAACAACATAAAGCGCATAGGCGCAAGACACACTCATGCAGTCATCCACATCATTCTCCTCCTTGGCTGCGTTTCTCGTGCTGCCGTAGTCGTGCCTCGCGCCGCATTACTACAGCTGACAAGCGCTTGATTTGTGCCCGCGTAAGGGGCTCTTCATTGTCATTCAGCGCCACACCCCGGTCACTTTTTCTTGCGGCCTCCTCGTCAGACGAGGCGCTGGAGCAGTACGATGACAGAACATCTAGTGGCTTGGTGGAGGGCACAATGCCGTAGCTACTCACACCCAGCTCTGATACACCTCCGCTAGCCACAATGTTAGAACCGTCATCCAACACGGGACTCGCCGTGCGTGAGGGTGGCAGCGCAATACGTGTGTTGCCAGTTGGCACCATGACGAGCGTAGGGTCCATGTTGAGCATCTCATTCCCACGGCCGACGGCCTCGTCGGCAAGGGACAGTATTTTCTTCCCAATAAGTCGCAGGTTTGTCTGGTGGTTTTCCGCCGTAGTGGGGGGCACATGTACCTCCGGACGATACATGACGATGGCGGCGGCGAGCACGTCCAAACCCCGAAGGAACTCAGCAAAGAGATTTTGCAGCTCCTTATTCCCCTGCATCGCCTCATCCCGCTTCGTTGCGGCCTCCTCAATGCAGGCGGCAAGTTCATCCCGCAGGTACGACGTCATGAGGGGCTGACCGACACCGCAAAGTTTCTCCTTCGCCTCCAGCTCCTTTAGGTGCTGCACCTCCCCAGAGAGCTGCTCCAGCTTATCCTTTTCGTCACGCACTTGATCATGCAGATGCAGCCGCGCGGTGTGCTCAACCTCAAACTTTGTCACAAGCTCATCAACGGTAGATGACTCGGTGACACGCATCATCTTTCGGACAGATTCCTCGTAGGCGCGGATGCGCTCCTCGTCCTCCGGTGACCAGGAGATGGTATGCAGCAGGCCGTTAGGTTCACTCTTCTGCAAGCTCGGGTCCGGCTGAACCGAGGAGAGCCGCTCCATCACATTCATAGAGCGCTTCTGCCGGTTCAAGAGCATTTGCCGCTCCGTCTCTGCATCTTCAATGCGTTCGTGTTCAGCCTCAATCTCCTGCTGAAGCTTGACCTCCCAAAGCTCAAGTTCCTGTGTTTCCTTCAGCGCCTGCTCCACGCGTTGGCGACGCTCACCGAGGGCCTTATCCTTTAACTTTCGCATCCGCTGAAACTTGTTCTTGAAGTCCTCCAGCGCCGTCTGCGCAACCTGGTGATCGGTGACCGCGTTATGGTACATCACGACCAGTTTCTCGTATTGCTTATGCCGTGTCTCAATCTCGTTTTCCATAACGGTCACTCGGGACTCGTGCCCAGACTCCTCCGCCTTCATCTCCACTAGCACCTGGGCGTACAAGTCTCCAATCTTGTTGATACACTGCTGCTCAGACATCAGCTTGTCCAGTTGCTTCTCTAACTTCTGAATGCGCAGCACAACACTGCGGTTGCCAGAAACAGCCTCTGGCAGCAGTGCGCTGCGGGAGACACCGTCAAAACGACGCGACTCCTCCGCCCCCTTGATGCACTTATCTAACTTCTCTAGCTGATAGGTCAGGCGATTGAGGCGGCGTCTCTCGACAAATTTATGCAGCTCGAGCTGTTCCAACTCCGCTGCCGTCACATCTGTTGTCCCGGCACGAATGGCGCGCAGGTGGATGTTCTCGTCATGCATCTTTCGAATGTCACGGCGGTTGACAACGCTGCGTTGTTGGTACTCACGCTCCAGCGTCGCCTGCCGCGCGGCAACCTCTTTGAGCCGCTGCGAGTAAAACGTCCATTCATCCTGCGACACATCCTGGAAAACGGCGTGCCGCGCCCCCGTACTGCCACAACGCCTCGGCCGTCGCGTTTCGTCCACGCCCAATCTCACTGCTTGAGATGCACTCTGCGGACGCACCATGACTGCCCTCTCTCTGTTTCTTCCTCTCTCTATCTGTCTCTCTAACTATATATGTTCGCTCTTGCCAACTATGCGCCTACCGCAGTTCAGTGCAAGCAAGTGAATCAAAAATAATTGGTGGACAAGAAGCGGCGGCAACGTCAGCGCAGAGAGGCAAAAAAAGAGGAATAAGGAAGGAAGGAAGGAAAGAGGTGGAATAAATAAAGGTGAGTATCGAGACACCGCGTTTACCGCCGCAGACAAACAAAGAAACAAATGACCAAGAAAGAAACAAAGACGAAAACACACAGAGACACAAACAAAACGGAGTCACGTAGTAAAACAATGACAATAACGGGTGTGTGTTGTTTGCGCGTTTGACAACAAAAGTAGGTGTTGTTGCGCCCCCCCCGCCGCCTTACATGTGACGGGGAAGGACACACGCACACATACACACACGATCCGGTATAGTCGCACAGAGCACGCTGGGGCAAAGCGCTAAGGTCTGCTCTGCACGCCGCCCCCAACACACCAGTAGGTGGGTTTGCAGACAAGCAATAGAAACGATGTGTTGTTGTCACGCATATGCCAGCATCACCCACCGGTTGCAGCGTCAAATGCTGTCGTGTCTGTAAAGAGCAGCTTACCCAGCGGAAGGAGGCCGCGTTTTGATCCCACCGCTGGGATTACTGCATGTGTGACTGTTAGGTTTTCATGCACCAATAATAATAAATCATAATGGTAGTAATAAGGGGTTGGGCACTAAAAAAGGTGGCGGGCTAATGTGCCGCTTACTTATTTGTTTTCCCTCTTGCAGTTCCTACGCTGCAGCCTTGCCACTGTCTCCTTTCCTTCATCCCTCAAGCAACAGGAAGCGGGCTGGAGGAGACGGCTAACCCAACGTCGCATCCATTCGGAGGTCAATGCTGCGGCCCCAACATCAACCTCCTCTGCATGCATCACCGCTACAACCAGTCACACAAGCTGCAACACTAGTACTGGGAGAAGAAGAGAGGGAAACATATTTCCGTTTGACCGCATGTTGGCTTTGGAGTTTATGCGGCACCTCCGTCACGGCAATGCAGCTGCGGCCACCCCCTCAATTCGCGTCAATGGTGCAGCCCGGAAAGCGTGCCTTGGCGAGGCCAACCTGCGCGTCCGTGAGCCGCTCCCCTCTGTCCCGCCAGAAGGACAAAAAACACGGCGGGGAGTCATTCGCCGTGGTGAATAGGCGTTGGGCTTCGCCCAACAAGTTGTCAAGGGCTTGCCAGAGAGCCTCTTGCCTCGCAGTGGCCCCGGTCGCAAAGACGGCAGAGTACCGCACGGCAAACGTCACACACGCCGGACGCACCCGCACATCCCGAAAAGAAAGGTCACCATCGCCAGCGTCCGCCGCGAGGTGCCGCACAAATTTACGCATTCGAAGCACCTCCGTCACCGAGTACGCCGTGAACGAATCCGGTAGCCTCCACCCAAACGACAGACCTACGCCCAGCTGAGACACAAAGGCGTGAATCAATGCATAGAGTTCTGCCTCAGGGAGCGCGGTAAATGACGGGTGATTCACAGGCAGCCCTACCGTGCCAAGATGCCCCGCCGCAAGGACATCTGCGTTCCACCAAAATGAAAACTTCCCGCTCAACTCGCTGTACAGCGTGAAGGACTTGGCAAGCAACGAATGCACCGCGACGGCGGCGCTGGGATCCTTAAAGTCCAGTTTCACAACGCCCAATCTCCCTGAATGCGACCTCACAATGCCTGCCAGCTCCTCTAGCCAGGCGGCGAGGGTGACGCACGTGGACGCCTCCGCCGCAGTGATTGGGTCGTGGTGCAGCAAAGGCACCATCTCTGCATCGTGCGGCGCCACGCGCACATCCACCTCAAGGCCTATTGGGCATTGCTCTGTGGCGCCACAAAGACGGCCCGCAGCTGCGCGCAGCGCAGTTAGCGAGTTCACGGCGTGCACCCAGCTCTGGGGGACACAACTATGCGCCACAGTGAAAGCGGCAACCATCCTCGCCGCCACGGATGTAATGCTGTTGGTCGTTGTTGGCTTGTCTACGCCTGCGTGCGACTCCCTCCTTCTTGTGCCCTGAACTTTCTTGTGTGCTCCCTGCACGTCCCCCAACACACGCGGACTTCCTCCCCCATCACAGGCAATGGAACTCAGACAAACAGCAGAGGCAGAAGAAGCGAGCTAGCACAAGTGGCAACCAACTGCTGGTGCGGCTTGTCAATCCCATTCGTTGTTTTATCACCCCCACCCCCGCACCGCACCGCGCCGAGGCACCTCACGTGGTGACACCCGCCGCGGTGAACAGGCATGACAACCGCGCTAGCAACGCTGGTGCCGCCTACCACACCCCGGTCATTGCCATCGATGCGATACACCCCTGGCCCGGATTAATGCATATATATATATATATATATATATATATATATAGTTTCGCG